CCGACGGGCCGGGCCGGGGACAGCAGCCACCTTGGCCCAAGGCAGGGGGTGGCCGCTCGGAGTCCGGCCCGCCTCGCCCCCAGCGGGCCGGGGCTGCAAGGGGCTCTCAGCGCTTTAATTCAGACAAAACTGGGGAGGCCACAGATGTTTCTCGGAGAAGTTCACAGCATCAGGCAACCCCGACTGAAAACTAATTTCTCAGATATCTCTTGGCCCTGAACAGCTAGAACGGCTGCTATATTAGGCACATGAAGCCCTGTGTTTAGACACTATAGTGACCGTGTACAGTACCTCTGATAAGGATGGAAATAATCCTGGACGTCCCAAGTCAATGGTTATTTTACTATTTTCCCGGAAGCCACGCGCTGCGGCACTTCACATTAGTATCTGTTCTTGCTTACTGCAATAGAGTGACACAGGCGTAAGAGGCCTTTTCAGCCTGAACGCCCATTACTACGTTTTTCCAGTCCCAAGTTGTAGAGTCATCGGGAAGTCAGGCTGGAAGGGACCTCCAGAGGTCATTTAGTCCAGCCCCTCGCCTGAGGCAGGGTCATCCCTATCCAAACCATTTCATACAATCCAATAATCTAAACCCTACGTCAGACTACCGGCAACCTGCCACAACGCAGACCTGACAGCCTAACCTGCCACAGGTAGAGCAGGGGAATCACAGCAGCCAATGTCCTGCTTGTGAAATGTTGTCAGTGTATGCTCAAGAGATCCTGGGTTGAGGGCCATGCCCCTGCTAGAGGAAGGCAAAAACTGCCACAGTCCATACCAATCTGGCCATGGGGTAAAATTGCTTCCTGATCCCAAATATGACAACCTGACATCTAAGTCAACCACATTTTCAAATTCAGTTTTTGGGGGACATACCTTTTCTCTTGAATATAAATTGATAGCTACCAATAAAGACCTTGACCTCCTGATTCCACAGGAGAATTTTAGCAGCAAAGATCCGAAGGGTTAAATGGACACTACAAGTCCTAAAATAAAAACTACACCAAAATATAATTCTGATTGGATCATTTTATTGCATTGCAAAAATAGGGCAAATGCAAAAGTCAAAAAAGTTAGGGACTCAATTACAGGCCAATCCCACATACAAGTTGAGTGTGATTTTTACAT